CCTGAATGTCTTCAGTCCAGAGGGGATGTCTGTACAGTTACAAACCAGTTCAACCTAGCCAGGTTAGACTAACCTGCAAAGATTGAATCAATTCAGGCTCAGGCTTTTTGAATGTCTGTCTCTAGCCCTGATGACTACTTGCACAATCAACAGTTAATATAATAGTGACCATAGTCACCAATGGAAAGTATTAACTTACAATTTCTTATTGTCAAATATTTATCCTATAGACCTATATAGCTCATAGCTTCTTTGCAAAAGTCCAGCAGAATATCCTATTAAGAAAAGTTTAAAGCTGTCTTTTCACTCAATTTAACTGTTTTAAATCTTTTCTCTTTCATTTTGTGCTCAGTGGAAACAAGCTAAAGTGCCTACAATATGATGTTGGGAAGAGTACCCCTTGGATGAAAACTTAGGTGTATTGAAGTCACTGGAAATTTTCTGTTGAATTCAGTGGCAAACGGATTTTACCAATGTCTTTCTAGCGGTATTGGGAAAAGAAAACAGAAAAAAATCTGTTTTGGTTGAACCTAGAACAATACTGAAACAAATTGTTGAAATGTATACATTGCACCCTAATGGCCCTAGATTTGCAACATACAAGCACACTTAATATCATGCAATGGGTATAGTTATGTGTAATCCTACTGTAATTACTGGGTCTACTCATGTAAGGGTTGCTCAAGTACTGCTATACTGGTTCCAATCCTGCAACTGAGTCTGTGATGATAATGCTTGACAGATGTTACCATTAAGGTTTTCCTGCTAAGTAATAAAATCATTGCTTTCCCTGTTCTGTTTTAGCAGTTGCATCTCATTTACTTAGCGTAAGCTTAACAGCATTTGCTATTGATCCTGGATAAGAACAGTGACACAGTGTTGAGATCCTGCCCATTGCTGCTTTACAGGGATATTGCATAGCAATGCTGCTGCTGATGAAATGTCATTGAAGCCTCAGAGATCATCACAATGATATGGCTTTCTAGAAGCCATCTTTTGTAAAAGCGACCATAACTTTCTAGAAGCTACCATAGTCTTGTATGATACAGTTATGTTAAAATGATGGTGGCTACGTCAAACTCAGAGCTGAGGGCACCCTTGATGCAAGTCTATAGACTTTTGAAACACTTATTTTAATATATTTGTATCCAGATAACCAGAGGAAAATTTATGTCATATAGGGGACGATCTGTTGTTCCATGCAAAAATGCAGAACATTAATTATATAGGGTGCTTTGAGTTTTTCCATCAGTTGGTCTTCTTAGGTTCCTGAAGCTTCAAGTGCTCTTTGCTAACATTCAGAGCATGTAGATGTGTTGAATCCTCAACATCAGGTCCTTATTACTCTATTTCTCTTGCTGAGCATTTAGACTTTTGAGATATTATGTGAGCCATTCATGTATCTTGCTTTTCAACCTAGATTCTGACAAATACATTCCATTTAAAAGAATTGGCACAAGAGACTTCAGCCCCATAACACAGAGAGACCATCATAAGTGCTTTATATTATTGAAGAAGAAGCCTCAGCATTACATGTAATGTTGACTATCTGTTTAAAGAACTGTTGGAACAGGTTGGTAGGAATAGACAATATGGTCATCAGCAACTACAGTGGACCAGCTAATGGCCTTGTGAGTGTTAATAAGTCAGCCTTAAGCATGTTGATTGATAAGCTCTTGCTATGTATTTACAAAGAGTATGTGCGAGGGTCTGGAGAACCCCACCATCTTGGAATCTAAATGTCACAGTTTCACAGCTCCTGAAAAGAAACTGCATCACAGAGCCAAGCAGAGGAAAAGACCAGTGATTACAGATACTGGGTTAATACAAGACTTTCTTATTTTTAACCTACAGTAAACAGTAGGAGGCATACTGTAGCAGTATGGAGAAGCATTTCCTTCTCTTACCTGGTAGGCTTCATCCTGCAGTTTTTGTTTCAGATATTCTTCCATCTTGAGCTCATTCTCCAGCTGACGAACAGAGTCATTTTCGTAGTTCTCATCATCTGCTCTAACATAGGAATCTCCATCTTCTGCGACCCTAAAGGCAATAAATAGCCTCCTAAGATGATGACATCGTGATACCAGAACCTCTGAAAATCCTTTAGTAAAAGCTGAGAAGTAAGTGGGTGTTATGTCCTTAGTCTGTACACCAGGTCTTCAAATTGTTTTGTCCTTGCAGCCTTCCCACAAATCCCGCCTCTTCAGTGATTCAGCATCCATGAAACAAACAAAAGGACATTGCCCACTGTCACGGAGTGGGGCCTATGAACAGCCGCGATCCCGCTAGGTCCCCCTGCCGTGCCAATTAGGAGATACAGCACCCTCTTATTTTCGCCCGCCACATCTTTGATCTCATATAGTCTTATATGGGAGGCTGCCTTTTATTTCCTATGATCTTAGGGTGACTTGGTGCCCCCCAGCCTTATGGGCTATGCGTGCCTCCTACCTCCCCTTTAGCACGGCCCAAGCCTCGCAGTTGTTCCTGACGTTCTTGTGTCTCCAATCTTCCGCTAGCCCTCCCCAGGCTTCACTCTTACCGGCTGGCCCCCCCAGGGGCCTAGGCCACGCGCTTCCCACGCTCTTGCCCCTCTTGCCCCTCACTGGGGCCTGCGTCTGCGCTACTCGCGCCCGTGGCTTTCTCTTAGCC